GAACAGTTGTGATTTATTTGATATTTATCCATATTGCTCAATTGATGAGCCTTCATATTTTAAGAGTTTACATGATAAAATTAGGTGAATTAACATTCGTTTTAAATATCATGTATCATGAGCACAGAAATGAACATACATGAGAAAATATGTGGTACTAAATATAGATATCCATATCACAGTGTTGAGTTAAGGGAATGGATGAAGCAAATGCTAATTTAGGTCCACAACTGACTTGTAACCAAACTCAGATTTCAATGGATCTTAAAAGCCAAGGATTAACTAGGCAATGTCCAAGTCTTTCTATGATTATAGCCCTTCCTTTCTGGTGATACTACTTTCTTCATATAACAAGATAAAAGAGGACCATCAAACATTCTGTAAATTGATGAGAAGAGTATCTGCTCATCAGATTACAGTCAGTGATAACTGCAATCACAGATTATAATTACCAAGTTATGACAAGGTGAACAAGCATATTTATATTTCATTTTCCTCTTCTATTTCTTGGAATAGTTCATTCTCATTGTTCCATTCATTTCTTGGATCCACAACTCAGTTCTAAGTCATATTTATTAATTTATATAAAATGTAAACATTTTGTAAACTTATAACAATGTATCTGTAAATTGAATTTACTAAAAGCTTTATATCTAATAGTAAAGTTGGATATTTTCTTAAAACACAATTTTTTTCACTTTTTACATGCTTGACTATTATACAGAGTATATACTGTTGATGGAAGCCAGCGATTTCTTTTTTGATAATAATTAATAATTTCCCCCCTCCAAAACCTCCCAAGTATCCCTCCTTTATCCTTTTTAAATTCATGACCTCTTTATTCATTAATTGTTGTTACAAGCATATATGTATATATGTATATATTTCTAAATATAACTTGCTTGTGTTGTATAATATTATTGTATATGTGTTTTCAGGGCTGAGCATTTGATGTTGGATAACTAATGGTATGTTCTTCCCTAGAAAAGATGGCTTTTCCCACTCTCAGTCTTTCTTGGTTGCCTATAATTCATTCTTTCTGTAGGGTTGTGGCCTGGCCTTTCCTTTTCTTTGGCATGCCTATTGTGTGTCCTGCTCATTCAGCTCAAGTTTAGATAGTCGTATCAATGAAATGTTTATGGATGTAACTTTTGACAATACTAGGAGATAGTTTCATATCAAGTTCCCTGATCCTCTGTCTCTTAAGTCTTTCTGCCCCTTCTTCCACAATGTCCCCTGTGCCTTAGGTGCATGGATTGTTGTGTAGAAATGTCCGTTATGACTGGACTCCACAACTCTTTTTTTTTTCTGTAGTGATCTTCATCTATTGCAAAGAAGAGTTTCCTTGATGAGGGGCGAGGGTACACATCTGTGGATATAAGAACAAGTGTTTATATTGCTGTTAAGGACATGCTTGTTTAGTTAAATGGTAATTTTGGGTTATCTGCTAAGATCCATAACTTTACTATTTCTGTGTAGTTGGTTAGGCTTCTAGTTAGGGAAACTTGGCATGATTTCCCTTTTGTTTAGTGTGTTTTAAGTCCAACCAGAGAGCTGTTGATTATTACTAAGGTATGTATGCCATTACCATTCCCGTAAGGTTATTAAGTCACGCTGTCATTGTTGTAGTTCATGTGTCATAGATAGGTAGGACTGTTGGTTGCTTACCTTCTTTGGAAGCTTACATGCTTCTGATACCATGAAAACTGATCCTCAGGGAAGATACATTGAGTTCAGGTCCAGCCAGGGGCCTCTGGTTTCTTCAGCAACAGGGACCTAACTTCTACCTCTAGGGGTCAACCAAGGGCAGTAACAATAGCATGTAATGTTTGGGAGTCTTTTGGGCAACCGTAAGTAACAACTCAAAAGAGGGCTTTTCATGTGTGGTGTTATGGTTTTTGATAGATAGTCTTCAACTCTTTTCAGCCCAGATGAGAACTTTTCATTTAAACTGTATTTACCTTTTGTTTTGGTTTTTAGGTGTGGTCCCTTGTGACTTTTTTCAGACATCCTTACTGTTGTTTTACCCTCCTTCTGTATTTATCTTCATTCCTCCTCCCTAATTAGAACCCTCTCTTACAGCCACCTGTTCTTTCCCAGTTTGCCTATCAGATTACTTATACCCTGTTATTCTCCTTTCAGTTGACTCCCCCACTCATCTACCACAGCAATGGTTCCTGTCTTAGTTAGCGTTTGTGTTGCTGTGATGAAACACCATGACCAAAGGGGATTGCTTGGCTTATATTTCCATATCACTGAAGGAAGTCAAGGCAGGAACTCAAACAGAGCAGGAACCTGGAGATAGGAGCTAATGCAGAGGTCCCTTCCAAGGTTCTTTATACTTGGTGTTTTAAGTAGGATATGCAATGGGGTTTATCTTTTCTGGTCTTGTCTATTTGGTGTGTTCTGTGTGCTTCTTGTGTCTATATTGTGTGTGTTTCCTTAATTTGGGTAGGTGTATAGATCTTGTTGAAGAACTGGTCTGTGTCTTTGACTTGAGGCTCTTATCCCTCATCTCTGCCTACAATTCTAAAATTTGTTTCTTTTTTTTTTGCCATGGTATCTCACATAACCTGTATGTTCTTTTCCTGTGTTCTATTAAGTTTTTCACATTCCTTATATGCATTAGATCTTTTACTTTATCTTCAAGTCCTGATAGTCTTTTCTCATGCTTGGTTCATTCTACTTGTAAGGCTTCTTTTGAGTTATCAACTCCATCTTCATTTCATGTTGAGTCCTCTTCGAGGTTTCTATCTCCTTATTGAATTCTTTCCTCAAGTCCTGGATTGTCTTAATCATATCCATCATCCTTATGTTTGTTTTCTTGGGCGTCACTCAGGCATTTTGTTATTCTCCTTAATTTCATTGGTTTATTTCTTTGTATTAGCCTTAAGCTTCTTGGATTATTTGAGAAAGTTTATGATTGTTATAAATTCTGCACCCTGGGGTTCATCTAGGCAATTCTTATGATAAACTGGTAGGTGTAGGGGAGAAGATACTGGCTTGATCTTTCATAATTTGTATTTTTGCAAAGAGATCTTAATATGTGGGGTTATTTTAGTTTTAAGGTTGATAAAGATATGTTGTTGAGGAAGAATAAGGATGTGTGGGTGGGTTGGGCTTATGGTGTAGAGATGGATAAGGCTGGTGGAAAGGTTGATGTGGCACACGTAGGGCCTATGGTTTTGAGTAAAGGTAGAGAGGGTCTGAAGTCTAGAGAATGCTTCTGGTGCAGGCATGGGAGGCAAGATGAGGCCAGGGCACTGGATATAGGACCGTGGCTTGATCTGGTGGACTGGGGAGAAGGCCTGGATGGGGAAGGTCAGGGAGACCCACAAGGGGAGAGTTTAGATGCTGCATAAATGGGACATATGGATGATGGTAGGTACTGCAGTTTGGGAGAGACCCTGGAGAAGACTGTGGAGAGTCTGGTTGGGTAGAGAGATTGAGTGCAGTACCAGTTGTTGATTCTAAATAATGCAATAAGCAAAATCAGTCACTAAAATGCCAAATACTCTGAAATATCCTCTTCTCACAAATGGACTTCATTCCAGTTTTTTTTAATGATTATTATTTTTCTTTCCCAATGTGGTCCCTTTTAGAAATAAAAGTGAGGTCATTATGTAACTTGCCTTTTAACCAACCTGTGGCCCACAGGCTCCTCATGACCAAAGATAGCAGTGAATATAAAACTGTAAGCTTTCTTAAAACTCTATGAGAAGGGTGTGTGTTTAACTCAGTAGCTCCCAAGAGTGAGCACTGTAGGAGACAGATGGAGTGGGCAGTAAATTACATAACCATTATTCTTCAGTATTTTGATGTGGGATTTTTAGGCCTGTTGGTAATGAGGAAAAGTATACTGCCCTGTGGAAATTTAAGACTACTTCAACTGTCTGTCCTAGGAGCTCTCTACCCTTTGGTGACATCAAGGGAATGTTACTAGAAACTAATTGAGATTCAAGTATAAAGAAAGATCCACCAGTATTACATCATCCTACTGTGTATGTGCCTCTTACATGGGTTCCTTAATGTACCTTGCCCTTTTCTCCTGTACTACTTGTATATTGCAGTTGGCTTAGCTATTTTATTGCTCTATTGCCTCTCAAGACTGGGATTATGTCAGGAGTTATGGCCTCCCTTCACAACCACTGCCATGACTCCTTACCTACAAGTAGATTTGCTAGGCCTCAGGCCCATAAGGTGGCTGCAGCGTGGGAGCCTTGCATGTGGTCCTGATCTGTTTCAGCAAAGATGACACTCCCACTCTTTGCAACTCAGATTGAATGCACCTTGACCAGAGCAAGAGAGGTCTAGAATTCTTGAGGTTGCACACCTTGTTTCCCATGCTGCTTTGTCTAAGATAAGCAAAACAGACTATGATTTGAAAGGCAGCATCATTATTTATTCAGATGAAGGCATCTCCTAGCTTTCTGTGAGTTATGTCCTGTGTTGTCCAGCCTGGTATCACTGTATTCTTCTATGACCTTGTCACTGTCATGCCACAGTCTCCATACATGAGGATCTACTGCTCTCCTTCCTGTTATGTAGCCACCTACTTGCCTGAAAGCCTGCTGGTCTCATCTCAAGAAAAGATTTCTCACTGTTAGTTTTTTAAATCTTCATTTCTAGTCCATGTACTTATGTTAATTTGTTTAATATGCTTACATAATTATAGGTGTATAACAGATTTCCTGTTTTTAAAGAAAATTTATGTCTGAAATTTCAGGAAGTTGGTTTTTAGCTATTTATTCCTTGTGGTAAAATCTTGTTTTATTCATTATTATGCTTTAGTTTTAAAAATAGGTAAACTAGGATTTTATACCTTAAAGAAACATTACTTACAATCGCTAACCACATTATTTTTCTGTGATACTTATGGAAGACATTGAAAAAACACCATTTTTCTGCTTAAAAACATCAATGCACTCCATACAAAACAATCTCTAATGTGACTGGGATCAAAAGTATTCATTGTTGGGCTTCTCTCTCCTTGCTTTTAGGGTGCAGGTTGCACAGCCCTGGTGGTAGCCGTAGTGGCAAGAAAGCTAGAACTTACCAAAGCAGAAAAGCATGTGCACAATTTCATGATGGATACTCAGCTGACCAAAAGAGTAAGTAGACACTCTCACATCCTGCAAGAGGATGTCACTGTCTCATTCACATATCAGGAAATACCATTTTCCATTGAGACTTCAGAAGCAGAGATGCCATAGATTGAAGACAGCAACTCTGTTGGAACTGGTTCCATTTCTCCCATTTTGTAAATGGAATATCTGACTTCAGCTCAGTTGGGAATAAGTGCATGCATAACCTTGGTATTTACATAAAAGTAGATCTCATAAATCTAGACAAATGCTCAACATTCGAGCACAGTAACTAGTATTAGGTTGGGTAGAAAAGAACACACTGTCTGTGGGAGGTAGGAAATTTATAGTAAGATGTGATTGGAGGAAATAGTACTGAGCTTCTGTGAGTCTGTCTGTGTGCTAAACACAGGTGTTACAAATATAAAATGTCCTTTATATGACTTGAAGGTCATCACAGATATAGCAAAAATGCCATAGCATCCAGATGGAAAATCACCTTCCAAGTATTAGAAGTAAACAAAACAATAATCAGTGTTGACAGAATACCCACCTTGGCTGTGTCCAGGGTGAACCCATGTGTGAACTCACTTACCCAGAGCAAGGTCATGGGGGAGGCCTTGTTGTGGCTATTTGATACAGTTTGGAAACCATGACACAGAGAGCTTAGATGGTCTGATCACAGTCATGAAATCAAGGTAAAAAAAACAGAAAAGAAGAAAAATATTTTTATTAGACTACACTTTTAGCTTTTTGGATAGTCACGTGAAACATCAAAATACCAAAGTCAAAAATACCTCAAAATGATCTTGTAACATCTTGTAGCAGTCTTTGCTTCCCAAAGTAGAATTCCATCAGGCTGCCATTGAAATAATTAAATGCATTGTCATTTAGTGACTGCGCACAAAAGAATCAATAGAAGTTTTCAGACAAGGTTCCAACTTTCAGTATTTACCTTATTCTTGATTTAGTTCTGAGTACAAAAGTGATCTTTTTAGTGGAACATACTTGCAGGTCCATAATTTCCCAAAGGGAAAAGATGATCAAATGGGCCTGCCAGGCTAGCATAGTAGGACCCTGTTTTAAAACACAAATAATATGCAACTTTGATTAGTATTTCCAATACAGCAATTATTTTCTTGCAAATTTATATTTATACAGATTTATTTATGAAAGGGGAACATGAATTTCTGCAGCCTTGCTCATACTGCAGCCCCCAGAGCTAACAGTACTTCAAGAGTCTACTATGGGATCAAAGCCCCTCAACTGCATATGCTATTATTAGCATGACTTTGCTATTTGCAAATACCTTCTGAATTATAATTTTATGTAGCATTATAGAGGGCACTACATGTGCTGTGGTGTGTATGTGGAGGTCAGAGAACAACACTGTGGAGTCTGTTCTCTTCTTTCAACTTCATCTAGGTTCCTGAATTGAAACTCGGTTTGCCAGACTTGCACAGCAAACACCTTTATCCCCTGAGCCATCTCTCAACCCTTCTGCCCCAAATATCTTTTATTTCTCCCTAGTTTCCTCTCTTTTTTTCGATTCTTATTTCCATTCTGAAAACTCATGAGCATCTCTAAAGTGAAGAGCTGGATGGGTACCTGGGATTATGTTTCTTTTCAAAGATGTTGAAATAGAAATACATGTCCATGTATTGTTATTAGTTCATATGCAATCCAGGAGTCATTGCATGCTCCTCTGAGCACCTCCTACGTTTGGCCAATAAGGTTCTCTTTTAGCAGAGCTTGTGTTAAGAGGCACAAGCTTTACCATATTAAAGGGGTGTTTCTATAAAGTCTTTCATAACCTATGCTATTTTACCATAAATATTATATTTTTCTCAGGAATTAAATAAGCGCTATAGTGGAGGTGATGTTGCAGAGAGAGTCTTGTTGCTTCTTGACTCAAAGGCTGTTCAATTTTCAAAACATGCATTCAACAAGATACCCATTGACTTTAATAATGTTTTCTTGCCACTGTTTCTTAGAAGTGGAACTACTTTGCAATTGATACTTACCTCATGTGAGTACTTGGCACAATATGTGAACAAGCCCTCTAATATTCATCTATTCAAGATTTTATACAAAGTCATCAACTTAATGACTATCATTTACTTGGAATATACTTAGGTTGGTTGTTTATGGAATTTCTAAGTGGAAACCATCTAAAAGTTTAACTTCAAGTAAGAATTTCACACTCATTGATGTTGTCTGGGGGAAAATAAGGTTTAATAAGGACAAAGACATCCTAGTACAAAGTCAAGAGGACTATATATTGTTGAGAGAGAAATACAAGTATACCCTCACACACCCCACAGCAGAGAATTTGCACCCCGAGTGGTTAGCAGGGAGTATAGTCATAAACATTCTGAAATCTGAACATGGCTCTAAAGAAAAAGCAACAGGAGTGTTGAAAAGATATTCTCCCAGCAATACATGTAGATCTTTAACCTTTCCAGTCTGTGTCTTACTGAGACAAACAATGGTGATGAAAAAGTATTTACTGTGTGCTCATATCAAGGGGAATGGTTTTATACAAAAATCATTTCTCTGCATGACTACATTCCCAAACAAAACATACTATTCATTGTGTACCAGCATCAAGAGTGTTCATTCTGTGACAATTTACTTCATCTTTAAAGTTGTTATGTGACTTAGAAAGACAAGAACAGAGATGGGGGTGGTGGCTCAGTGGCTGGGAGCCCTTGCTGTGCAAGTTAGTATCCCATGACCAAATAAAAAGCCAAGTTTGTCTGTGGGTGCCTGAAACCCCAGCAATGGTAGCAGATAGAGGTGGATCCCTAGAGTGAGCTTTCTAGCCAGCCAGCCTAGCCAAAACTGTGAGCTGCTAGTAGGTTATTCAGATGAAAAGTTACTGAGACAGGAAGAGACCAGATTTTCAAAGCCATGGCATGAGTGGTTTTTGTTTTCTTTTTGACATGAGTGGTTTTTGATGTCCTGTACTGCAATAAATAAATAAATAAATGCAGTACCACACTTATTATTTATAGTTTTATATTATCTGGGAAACAGGAATGTGATATTGGGTGACTTTTACACATTGGGGAGTCATATAAAAGCACCCAGGCAAGTGTCATTGCCACTGCCATTTCTCTTATAGCCTTTGATTGAGCAATATCAAATACCTAATCATGAGTGTGGCTTTCAAAGATTCTCCAATGAAGTGTTTCAATTAATCATGGACATTAGGAAGACAGAGAAAGGTTTCAACTTTCCTTTAGTTCAGCATATGTTGAGATAAGGCAGAGTAAGGAGGAGACAAATGCCCTGGAGATCTTTCTCCTCCCTTCCCTTACTTTGCTATTTCTCACTACCGTGGATCCTACTATTAAACATTCTCCTACAAAACTGTGTTCTTAATTGGCTGTAGAATTACTGGATTTCCTCTTGGGAATAGCTTAGAGTTGCTCTGTAGATCTCAATATTCTTCTTAATCACAAGAATCCTTTGGGTTGTGTGTAATGCATATGAGGATATATGATTGATTATTGAGGATATATTATTGATTATTCATGATTAGACATGTCTATGTACAAATTATGTATCCCATGATGCCCACTTAACACCACAGCCACGTTTAACACCAGTTATGTCCAAAGCATTTAACAAAAATGGACAGAGATTAGTGACATGAACCCCTGCCTTTAGGGCTTTATAAAACCTCAGGAAGGAGGTCAGTGGGGCAAAGGTTACACAATTAGACAGTATGGCACAGATCTTCTCTGAGGATGGGTTCCTCCAAATCAGCTTCCTGCTTACCTGAATGATAGGGAATGTGTGCACTGGTGGTTCTCTGGATTCTAGGATGTTTGAGCATCAGTTTGGTCCAGTTCCCCCAGGTGCTTTCAAATCTGTCTGCTTACTATCCCATTTCTCTCAGCCCTAACAAGGACAAGAAGAGCCACAGGTGGAAACATCTCAGTCGCAGGCAGAATTTGGATTTTTGTTCTGTGGTTTAATTCTGGCACATATTGCTCTGTAGTTTTCATGTTGAAAAGCAACAGTTAAAGCAGTAATAAATATCTTTTTAAAGACTTCATTAGGGAATAGGAGAGAAGGTACTTTTAAATCAGTTCACATGTTTCAACATTTTTTAAAGGAAATGTCTGGGTTAAGTTTCATTTAAGCTTGTCAGCTGTAATGATGGCATAGGGAACACAGATCCTGAAACATAAGGTTTCCAGGGCATCATTGACCCATTCTACCCTGAATTGAGATTCTCTGTGTCCCTACAATCCCAATGGGAAATAATCATTTAAAAGCATCCAAGAAACAGGAAGCCACCCTTTTCAAAAGTTAGTAGAATTTAAAAGAAATTTGGAGTTTTCACTTTGTAGACGGGAACCTATACAAAATCAGTTTGCTTTGTTTAATGCTAGGGTCATGTCCCAGTTGGAGACATGTCCCCCATGTTAAATCTTCATAACTAGTTTGGACATTAGTTCCTGTATGGTCACTTCTACAGATAAAACCAGGGAGGACATATACCAGGGCTGCTCATCGATTGTCCAGGTTTCCACTGCCACTCAGAGTTGGGAGTTCCTCTTCTCATAGGAACAGTCCCCAGCAGAGACTGCTAGACACCTCTTCCTTCCCCATGCTCTGTGAAATCAGAATGTTCCAACCTCCACCTCTTGCACTGCACCAATTTCTTTACCTTTGGAAAGACCCAAGGTTTTGTTTGCAGTCTTTTTAACTTTCCTGAAGAGAGGGGAGGTGGGTGGGTGTCACTTTGACTCCTGGCCATACTCTCCATCTCTTCCTGTTGTTTTCCTTTTACTTTGAGGAAACATCCTATGGAAGTGTGTAACAACCATGATCATGTGCAAACTCATTTTTTCTGCAAGCAACCAGACATTTTCTTAAAATTGGTTTTAACAGTACAATTTCACTCGAGAAGAAAAGGTTTCAGTACCATTAATACTGAAATGTGACATTTCTTTGCAAAAGTAGAAAGCTATAGCTGTAAATTTACCACCATAGTCATAGTGCAATTCTATGACAACCTTTTATTATAAACATGAGGTAATAGGACTTTTAGTTATTGCCATCTCTAACACACTCATGTTAGAGAAAATCAAATTCCAACAGGCTCACCAGGCACTGGACCTGACTCAGACTCAAGACCCATTTCTCAGTTTTAGCCTGCATTCTACTCTTCCTCCATCACTGCCTATCCTTAGTTGTCTTTTTCCACCTTGAGCCCAACCAGCCTGTGGCTTTTCTTCACTCAAGGGTATTTATTAAATGGGAAAACTCATAGGATAAGTAACCAGCCGATTAGCTGAAGAAATCTGTCTTTCCAGGTCCCATGGTGGAGTCAGGCAGAGGAGATCTACCCTGCCTTGGCCTTTATCAATTCCCAAGGTCTCTAAAATTTTAATCAGATATCAGTTCCCATGGCCTCTGGAGATTTTAATCAGAAAGCAAGCCTTCATCAGATGCAGTTACTTCATTTTTTCACATCTGTCTACCTGTTTGAAATGCAACCTGTTTAATTTCCCCATGAAATCATGATAACATCCCTACAAGTGAAAGTGTGCTAACACGCAAATAAACCACTGTTATTCTGGGACCTTATGTGCATGGGATGAACTCACACTTTCAGCCATGGAAACATGCCTTGGCTACACTACACAGCCAGAGAGACTGGGTGAGCTTACAAAAGACAAGATTAACCTTGTTATTTGGCACTTTGCCCTCCTCTGGGGAAATAAAGAGAATGGCAAGAAGAGTTGCCATCTAAGTGGAAAATTCAGCATCTCTGAATTCTCTTTAAGTGAGATGTTGAATTAAAAAAAAAAAGTTTCTTGTTAGAGCAGGTAGAGTGTAACATAGAAAGAGGTCAGAAGTATATCCCTAATATTCCACTCAAGTGTTCCTAGACAGACATAAATCCCTGCATGAAGGCAGATATACCAGAAAAACCAATTTGAGTAGCAGTTTCTAAAGCTCCAGTTCACTATGGTTCTTGGGATGAAAAACACAACCTTGAATGAGTGCAGGGTGCCTGCTTGAAGATGCAGTGACTGCTTTTCTTGTGTTTTCTAAACAGGTGAAAAACGCAGCCGCCAATGTACTCAGGGAAACGTGGTTAATCTACAAAAACACAAAGCTAGTGAAAAAGATCGACCACGCAAAAGTAAGAAAGCATCAACGGAAATTCTTGCAAGCTATTCATCAGTAAGTACCTGTTTTCATTTCTATCTTGTTCTTTCTTCTTAGCCTGGGCTTTTGATTCTTGTGCTTGCTGGCCAGTCCTTTGTGAGGGAAGGAAAGAAAAAAAGCACTGTTCTATTTGCTTCCAGGAGACATCTGAAAAACTGATAATGGAGCCCAGAGACAAGTTTAGTTCCTCTTACAACTAAAAATCCTGTGTTAACCAAAATAGCTTTCTCTTTGGAGGCCATGATTTCTGTTACAGAGGCCATAGTTTCTGTTAGACTTATATTTAATTAATGTATTTATTTATATAGTTTGGACTGGAAATGTTCAGCTTGTATCCACTATAGAATCTTGGGGACTGGGAAGGACACATTATATTATCCATCTGGATTTTCATATGCCAGCAAACATCTTTATATAACACAATATAGAGTTTAGAGTTGGTATAGTTCAATATTATCTTATTAAGTTACTTTTATTAGGCTGACGTAAGCCCTTTATGCATGTCTTTGTTATATAATCACTAGAGTCTTTTAAGATAAATTCAATGATGACTGAAAAACAGACTTTTCCAGGCTAACATTGTCTTCACTATAAGTGTTGCTCATGTGGGTATCCCCTGCAGACACACTTGTTCTTCATGTCCTTTCTTCATGGTTAGATTTGTGACTCAGGAAAGTGACTTTCTTTGTGAGACATACCAGGGTAACAATGGTGATGTGGGTAAATATTAGGTCTTTGGCTGTGCCACGTGATTGGCCTTCTCAGACCTGGCCAGTACAATAGACAAGAAAGCTTTGAGTCTGGGATTTTTATTTTACACATTTAGTTAATTCATAGGCAGCATGGTACTACTAAC